CCATCCTTACGAAGTGCAGCAGGTTCCATCTTGAGGCATGCTTGTGCCCAGATGTATACCTCATCGCCTGGGGTCTTCTGAAGTTTTCCGATAGCCATAAGAGTCTGATTCACAAACCCTCTCGCTTGTGCTGCGTTTTGTGGCGGGTTTGGAAAGGATAAATCAGAAAGTGACTTCACTCTGATGGTGTGCTCTTCAAGCTCTGCATTGGTCTTCGGAGCCGCCGCGCTTGAAGCTGCAGCCCCATCACCATCAGGAGCTGGATCATCACCTCCGTCTTTGTTACAGGTGAGCTCTGGGCAATCCTCTTCCGCGTGTTTCTTAGAACTACACATCCTACATGCTGGGTGTTCGGACCTAGATGAGGAATCAGATGAGGACGATGAGCCGGATGATCCGCCTGATCCCGGTGAGCCTGGGGGCACCGTGGCTTGAGTAGTGCCTCCAAGGTTCAACGTGGGTACCTGCGGTGGTGGGTCAGACTGTGCTTCTGCTGGTGCGCCTGGGGCTGCACCCGAAGGCGCGGCTGTATTCCCAGACTGCGCGGCACTAGCTGCAACCAACTTCGCTAGATCGGAAACCAACTTAGCCAATTCATCAACCCTTTGGTCTACTGAAGTAGGCTGTGGATCTTCGGGAGACTCTGTGCTGGCCTCCCCCCCTGGTGCGCCAGCGGCTGCACCCTCTTGGGGCGCATCGCTCTCACCTGTTGGTTGTGCAACGGGCGGTCCGGAAAAGAGAGACGGGTTCTTGTGGGGGTTTGTGGCGCATGTGCGTTGTTACCCTCCACAAGCCTAGCAGATAGGTCACGGTACCGCTCGGCCATGACGGCCATTGCCTCCTCGTGATGCCGCTGCATCAACTCCATCTCGTTCGCCAGCCTCACAATATCAGCGTCACGTTGGCGCAAACGCTGAACCGCTTCCTGCCTTTCGACCTCAGCCTGCTCCCGTGCCAAAGTGGCTTGCCGGAGAGCTTCTGATAAACCCCTAGCCTCACCCTCAACTAACCTTATTCTAGCTTGTGCTGAATGGTTGCTTTGGGCTATGGCTTGCTGGGCCTCACCTTGAATCATTGAGACCCGTTGTTGAGCCGCACGAGTGGTGGCGTCAATGGCGGATTGGGCTTCTTGCCTAAGGCTAGCTTCCCGATGCCTAGCATCATCCACGATACCCTGCGCAGCTCGTGCAATCGACTGGGCCTCGTCACGGTATTGTGCCTCGGCCGCTGCAGCTTGAAAGCTAGCTTGCATTACGGCCTCCCTAGCTTGAGTAACTGTTTGCTGTTCCCTTTCTGCAGCATGGTGCGCGAGGGACGCAGCACCCAAGACGACGCCGGAGGCGTGGTGGGCGTGTGTCACGGCGGCACCTGCAAGAAAGGTTGCTTGTGTTGCGCTAAGCTCGGGACCCCTTTGCGGGGGAGACGCCGCGGAGGACGAGCTATACCCCTCATTCCTTTGTGGTGTGGGGGCTGGTTCGCGGATCCTAAGAATGGTTGCTGCGGCCGGGACCAACGCCTGGCCACTGAAAAGCTCTGGGTCACTAAAGGAGGATTCCCCTGATGTCCGGCTTCGGCTTCGGTCTTCTGATGGTGGGGAGATGCCTGACATGGCTTCACCTCCTGAAGCTTGAGCCTTTGAGCCCAAACAACACCCTGTCTACGAAAACCGCCTATCGGCCGGGACCCGAAAGGGTCCCCAAAAGAACCTTAGGGCCAAAAGGGAGGGGGCAAGAAAACAGGACCCCTCACGGCCCTCACGCAACCACTCTCGAAAAGACTTTTGTGACTGGTACGCACGCGGTGGCTGGCCCGCTTGGGCGCCAAGCGTCTCTGAAAGAGGTGTGTGTGCCGACGGCTGTGCGCAAAATGCAGCACACACACGCAAAAGTAACGTACAATACCCCTAAGGACCACCGCCCAGCACTACACCCAAAGTGGGCCCTAGACCTGTTACCCGGCCCGGTGCGCCACAGGCAGCACCCTAGGGCGCTGCGAGAGGAGGTGTTGTGCGAGAGGATGGATGGGAGCTGACGTTTGCAACCCCTATGCTACAAAACCCAAGGCACTAAACCACTAAGGTGGCCCGGCGCGCTTGGAGCGGCACCCTTGGGCACCGCAAGCTGGCAGAAGGTGGCGGCACGCAGGCTGGAGCAGCCGGCCCGGTGCGCCAAAAGCAGCACCCTCGGGCGCTACTTCTCGTAAAGCAGCTCTCGGGGCTCGAGGTGTGGCGAGCCGTGGGCAGATTGTTGCGCCCGCGCCGTTTGATAAGATCACTTGCCTGGTTGAGCTCGTAGATCAATTGGTCGACGCCTCCGCCCTTCTGAGCCTGTACCGTGAGCACGCCGGTTTTGGCGCACTCCTTGATAATGCCTCGGTTGTCGTCGATCACGACGCTTGCTGGTGGCACTGCCTATGGAGGCGGGTGCGGCACCCTCAATGGTGCGCTGGCTGCGGTGGGGACGCCAGGTGCCTTAGAAGCGGGGGTTAGGACCACAGCGCACCAGGGGGACCCAGAGGAGGCCCTAAGTGCACCCGATCCGTTTGCCAAACGATGCGTGGATCGACCCCCATTCCTACCGGGAGGTCTACACAGCCAGTGGGGTTCCTAGGGGTGTGTCCGTAGCGCGCATAGACACCAGCTCTTCCGAAGAAGAGGCAAGGCAGCACCCAACACCCAGGGCACCGCCACAAAGGAGACCGTTCCCGCAGGGTGAGATCGTAGAGTGCGCTGCACCCTCGGGGGGGCACGGCACGACGCTGAAAGGAAGGAACCGCACCAGAATCCCTAACCCGAACCCCAAGCACCCTGACTATCAACCCGAACTGTGGGGAAAGTCTCTGTGGCGGGTGCCAAGATCCGCGGCCAACACTAACGCGGACCTCCTTGCTGGAGCTCGGAGGGAGCCACTTCGATGGCTGGGTCCTCCTCTCCTGCTTCTTCCTCCTCGGCACCTTCTGCCTCGAGGCCTTCTGCTGCCGGTTCGTCGTCCGGTGCGCCTGCGGCAGCACCCCCGTCGTCACCTGTAGCAACCTCGACCTCTACCTCTACCTCCTCGGTCTCCTCCTCGCCGGCTGCCTGCTCTGCCTGCTCGGGCTCCGCGCCTTCGGTGTCCCTAAAAGAGGAAAACACCGAGCCGCGAAGCCTAAGCTCCTCCAGGCTGGCTTCTTCTTGTGCTCGCCGCGACGGCGGGGTACGAACACGCCTGGCAGACTGCAGGGACTCCTCTGGCGGATTGCCGCCGGCACGCGAAAGATCCACTTCCTCTTCAGCAGCTGGTGGCTCGGATGATGCCCTTGCGCCGGTGTCCTCGACACTTGCTCTGGCTCGGCTGGCACCCTCCTTTGCCTAAGCGGGTCGCTCCGGCCCCTGTAATAAAGGTCCCGGGTGGGTCCCCTTATTCCAAGGGCCGGTGCCTTTGGAGGCGTAGGCGGCTGCGCCGGTGCGCCAGTGGCTGCACCCTCGGCGGGCGCTGCTGACGCTGCTTCGGCTGGCTGCCTTTCCTCCTGCGGTGCGCTACTAGCAGCACCCCCTGATCCAGCTGCCTTTGCTGCTGCTTTCGGCCTCCAGCGAGCTCCTGACCCAGAGGCAGGCTCTTCCGCGACGTCCGAAACAGCAGTCCACAACTCCGGGTAGTACTCGACCAAGTCTGCCCACACAGGGTGATATACGTCGACTTGTTCAGTAATCTGGCCGAATCGGATAATCGTGTCGTAGTGTGCTTCGGAAACGTCTTCAAAATTCCACCTCTGCACGATTATATTCTGTACCGTCTCAGCAAGATGGATCAACGCGTCCTGCGCTTGGTAAAAGTGAAGCTTCCTCCTCTTCGCTCCTGCGCGGGCCCCTCTGTAGGGCTTGTCTCCGGCACTTCGCCCTTTGGTGGCATATGCTAGCCGGTGCGCACAAGGCAGCACCCCACTAGCAATCTGCCCACCAGCGCGCCTAAGGCTGCGCTCTTTCTATGGCAGGGGAAGAACCACTAAAACCCTGCGGCCGGGTTCAAGTAGGAAACCAAAGGAAACAAAGAGCTACGGCTGATAACCAATCAAGAGGGAAGGAAGGTACTTAAACCCGGCCAACCCTCTAAAGAACCAGGGCATCTAACTGCATTGCCCTTCTTTTTCCTTGAGCCAAATATTGTCCGAAGTCGCACTTAACATGTGAAACAATGAGGCCTCTGAACAACCTAAGTTGGGGCCTCTCAAGCTAGTCTCTGCTACTGGCTCTGCTGGGTCTCTGGGGTCGTATTCTTTTAACTATAATTGCCACAAATTGAACCATGACTTCAATACTTTTTACATACCCCTGCAAAAACCTGTAAAAATCATAAAACAGGATATAATGCATGTTTAAGTATGGCTTTGTTCCGTCAAAATCATGGCATCCACATTCCAAGGAAGCGTATATACTATATTATACGGGAACACATATTCATACAAACAAATTCAATCAGCATGGCCACAAGCATGAGGACGAGGACAAGCGCGAGAACGACAACCGTAGCCACACGAGGACAACCATCAAAACGACGACGAGGATGTAGACGCAGACACGGACGCAAACAGCGACTACAGTACAACGAACATGACGACGGCGACGACCACACGCACGCGGACGGAGAGCCATAGAGATGCTTCTGCCGACGACGACTTGTCCAGATGATGGCCCTGGCAGGGACAAGTATGAAGACCCGACGAGAAATTGTGGCGAGGATGAGGTGCAGGTGGACGATGCTGATGCCGGCGCTGATGCCGACGCTGATGCTGATGCTGATGCTGATGCTGATGCTGATGCTGATGCTGATGTCGATGAGAGGAGGATGAGGATGAGGAGCACGACAATGATGCGGTGGAGGATTCACCGGTACGCGAGGCGGACACAGCGACGGCGGTGTGACCTGGAATTCGAGATAGCCACGCACCGACGTTGACAAGGCCGACAGTGCGGCGGGTTTTGGCGGGTCCCGGCGGGTCCCGGCGCATGTCACAACGGCTCTCGCCTTGAAGACTTGCGCTTCGTTGTTGAGCAGGCAGCGATAGCGAAAAACCTGGGGAGAGAGAGGGGCAGGGGCCCAGGTTTACACATCGTGACCCCATGATTTTCAGGGCCACCGGCATCGGTTTCGAACTTTGGCAGCAGCCCCCCCTCGCAGCCAGGGACCACCTGACTTGGCTGAACACATACCTCCAAGGCCTACAGCTGTGCTCGCTGAGCGGCCAGATCTGCCAGCATAGCCCATTTGCTGTGCTCCGTCATGGCCACAACCAGAACATAGTCCAAAACCGTCACCTGCGCTGCCCACCCCGGTGGCTTCTGCAGTCCTTCCGATGGTTCCCGTGCCTCATCTGCGGCCTCTACCCTTATCTTCAATCTTTTGTAAGGTGCGGAAGGGTTCAACTTCACAACCTCGAGCACCAGATAACTGGCTGTTCACCGCTACGCAAACCAGCCAGGCGGCAGCAGAAGCATAGCCGCGGCCGTGCTGACCGTCCAACGTGACCTGCGCGCCCTCCTGAAAATGTCGGAAGGCAGTGGAACACCAGTCGGCGTCGGAAGGCGGCTTTATTGACACGATCGGGGGAAGCTTCGTTCTCCAAACAGTACTTGAGTTGTCCCTCCTTGTTCTTGTCTTCAAGGACAGATCGACGTGGGATTGACATGATCCAGACATGCACACCTGCAATCGACTAAGACTAAGCACATCTGTAACCCTGTGCAATGCTAGCAACTGGCTGCCACAGATTTCGAAGCCGCTTGGGCTCAACATGTGCAAGCCGAGTAAGGCATCATGAGTAGTGTATTTGTGTTCCGCTCGAAGCCACAGAGAGGCTTGTCTTTGACAACTCTCTCGGCTTTGCTTCGGTTTTGTCTCCGATGTTTTCTGAAAGGATATTGCATTCTGTGGCAAGAAACACTTTTCGTGTTCGGAAGACGGAGTAACGATTTGAAGTTTAGGAGCAACTTCGACAAATTCTGAGATCTGGATCGGCTTAAGGTGGCAACAAGCAGCCAAATGAAGGGGCGGTTTTGGGGGTGAAAACTTCTCAAAAACACTGCCTCTCACATCGTGCTGGAGTACCTTGTTTCGACGTTGGTCAAGTACATGCACAGCCACACAATTTTGGTTGCTTGTGGTTGTTTCCAACTTGCTGATCAGCAACTGCTGCTAGCTGACATTCTGCACAGGAAGTGAAAACTTTCTCGAGGCTTGTTTCCCGCGGTTTTCGTGCGAATTTCAAGATTGAAAAAATTCACCGGAGAGGGCTAAGTTGTGTGAAAAGCGCGGCCCAAAGCAGCTCTGTTGCCTCTTTTGGGACCGTTTAATATTGGCAGACTTTCCTCGGGCCAAAAACGGTCCCTCACATTTTGGGAGGCGGGTACCGCCACGACCTTCGCCTTGCGAATTGCAATTCTGAGGAAGGCGCTGATCTACTTTAGAGAAGCTTGTGTGCCATCCTGGTGTAGTGCACTTTTGCATGGTAGCGGAGCTGAAAACTAAGGAACCTTGGTGAGAAGACATGGCGGCAAAGGAGACTTTGCAGGAAAGCTTCGCCTTCCCGTGCCTGACACTTTCACCGGCCAGCCGGCTGACTGGGAGGAATGCCATGGAGCTTTAACGCTTACCTTTCGATGCTTCAAGGCTTGCAATTCGAGAACAGGTGCGGTGCCTTTGCTTGAAAGAGCTGTCGTCTTCGAGCGAGAGCTCTTACACTACGTGTGGCGACTTGTGCCAACTCGTCCCGTCCTTGTCCACAGCGGTGGCACTCAGGGCTACCTCCCGTGTCCTGCAAGCATAACTCAGTATGCTATTTCTCAGCACAACTCCGTCTGCGGGCCCTCGCGGCACTTCCAGCATGTACCGCCGCCTCTGAGCTAATGTGCACTGCGACAGACTCCTCAAGCAATCTCCCTCTCTCTCTGTCTCTCTCGCTCTGGTCTTCCTCCTCTTGCAGGGAAAACCTCGACGCCAGCTGAGGAACCGTTGCAGCGAGACGCACAAACGACAAGTTCGTTGAGCTATGCTGTGCGCTCGCGTGCTGACACCAAAGGACATTAAAAGACGCCAGAACGAATTCGTGGAAGCTCGTCTTGCTCTTCTTCTCTCCCTCCCCCTCCCCCTCCCCCTCCCCGAAAGGTGACACTGTGAAACTCACCCCGAAGCTGCCACATCACCCCCAAGCACTTAGTCTCATGCTCCATCATCGCTCCTGTTACTCCGGCCTTGGGCAGCTTGCGGGTCTCGGTTCTTTCAAGCGGTTTCACAACACTGGCTTTTTCCCAGGCATTGCCGGGTGAAGGGTCAAGCAGTGTTGACTTGCAAGGAATCTCTCGCGCCTCTCTCGCTTGCTGCTCCGGGAGGAGGCTAGCAACTCGACTCGTCTTCAGCACAGGGGACCCTTCGAGCGAGCGAGCGGCCCGTGGCCTCCCGATGTTCCAACCTTAAACCACCGAAGGACGTAACTACCTTTTGCACCATCTACCAGCTCAAGGCTAAGCATAGGAGCTTTGGACGGCTCAGTGTGCTGAAAAAGGGTGCTATCCCGGTTCTCAAATTTGTACGCTTCGCTCAGAGTTGGATCACGGTGCCTAGCGGGTTTGTATGCGCATGGTGTTCCCCTCTCCAGCTAAGTGGAATCTTGGTGAAAAGCGGACCATCAAAGCTGGTGATGTGGACTGCGCGGGAAGCGAACGCGTTTTTTCGATTTTTTATTATGTTGCGAAAAATTGCGATTTCTCGTCGTTGTTAGCCATTCGGCCGTCCGAGAAGTCGCCCTTATTCCGGGAAATTCTTTATCTCTATAACATTAAAAAGACTGAGCTTGTGCAATAGATGTAGACTTAAGATATTAATAAATGAACTTCTCTAAACGTAAGGAAACGAATCAGGGTGCCTGACTGGGGCATGGATGGATCGAAATGGAATGGCTCCAGCGTCAAGTCAACTGCATGCCGGTGATCACGTATTGAATGACGAGCCGCTCTCTCTCTCTCTCTCTCTCGCTCTCTCTCTCTCTTGCAGTCTAGGAGTCTCCCATCGTTCTCGGGCTGAGATGTGCACAGATCCTCGCCCACCGGATATGGCCTCTTCGAAGGCTCAAATGGCTACCACCATCAAACAGCCCCCCTTTGTCTGGGGCTCAGACGCTCCCACGTTGGACGCAATAGCTGCGAGCGTTGCGTCGGCATTGGGGGCGCGCCCAAACTGTGTGACAGCTGCACAGCCCGAAACCTCCTGGATCTGAGAGAAAGGCTCCGACTTGCAGCGTGTACTCCATCTTGCCATCCCTGACGAACAACACCGGTCGCCGGTCGCCCCGCCGAGCGGGCCGCGCTGGGCCGCGCTTCGCTCTGGGGTTCCGGACCAGTCTGCAGAGACCACGAAGACCTCACGTTGCGAGGGCTCTGGCTCTTTGACTTTGTCTCCGAGCGTCCGCCGTCCGCCTTCAGGGTCCTGAGAGCCTTCCACTGCGACCTCATTCGATTCTTTTCACTTCTTCTTCACTATGAAGCAAAGCCGACAGCCACATGAGTTAAACTTCCCGTGCGTCTGAATACTGCGCGGTTGAAACAACAAGAAGCTACTTCTACATGCAAGGTTCTCGGCGAACGTGAAAACCTGCCAAGAAACGTGCAAGAAGCATGATGGCGAATCCGCTGCTGCGCCGGACATGCCTTTTCCGATCAGACTGACTCGGTCCAGATGCATGCTGATGCCTTGCCCAATTCGAATTTGGTTGCAGGATACAGAGAAAAGTCCCCTGAAAACACATGGCATATGGCACTCCTTGTTTTCCAGCTTGTGCACATCCGACATCCACAAGGCAAGTGAGCTCACGCTTGCAGTTTTCTCGTGCGCAGGGAGGGTTACCGGGTTGATGAAGTTGACTTTTGCTAGGAGGAACAGCCATCCCACCCCAATCTCTTCCCAAGCCGGACCATTTGGATTGTTCAGCTGGGCCGGGACTTTGCAAGATTGGCATTGGCTCTAGGCCTTGCTGAATACGAAATCGCAGTCACCCTCCCCGTAGAGCTACGTCAAGTGTGAGTTGCTAGCCACTCTACTTCCTCTCTACTCATCCGCTTTACTGCCTATTTCTCGCTTCAGGACTGCCGATGTGTTCGACTATTCTGAACTGGCGGCCTGGCCAGGCTTAGAGTAAAAAAATTCTGGTCACGACCCGCACCAACTATTCGACGTCATCCTTCGCGAGCTTGACCCTGCATCAAAACACCTTGAACATATTCTGCACACTGCTGATACCCCAGACCATCTAGCACGAACTTTCTCGTACCGCAAGACGAAATCAATGTGGTTGAACCTGACATTTGTTCAACGTGATGTGGTCCAGCAAAATCAACGCTACAGGGATTCTCTGAAGCAGGCTCACCAACCCACAAGCATCGGAAAACATCAGGACCGTGACACGGCTTTGAAGCTTTGGGAAGTCTAGAAAGTCGTTCAAGCTTCCAAGTGTCTGCGAAACGTGCTCGTCTATGCTGTGCTTTGACAAAGTTCGTCAACTGTCTTGGCTGCCCACAATGTCCTGTAGCGCAGATGCTCTTTTGACTTTGCCGTTTGAGAACATAACTATAGGCCCGTATTGAGGTGCAAGCGTGCACGAAGCCATCTTTTGGTTGTTCTGTTGATTTTGCAACATGGATCCCCGTAAAGCACCCCCAGCACAAGCTGTCCTCAATAGGCCATGCATGTTCATCTCAATCATGGGCTGCTACGAGTATTAGTGGCAAGAAATTGCAAGTCTCTCGGAGGGAAACGTCTCTAGCTTTCAACGACTCTGCACGTTGTCTCGGACGGATTACAGTAAGTGCCCCCACTCCGTGATTCCAATGCTCCCCGGCGCGGCCTGTCCTCCAACAAGGGATCAGCAACTATGCACGGCGGGGTCCCAAACATGCGCCAAGACTTTATGCTCCCATACCCAGAGCTCTTCGGTAAATGTCTCCCCTTTTGGGTGCGCTGATGGCTTGGCCTTGACCTCTTGGACTGGCTCTTGGGCTAAGATGGGGGGAAAGCCCTGGAGGCCAGCACGACTGCAAGGAAAGACCGTGCTCAGGCACTCTGTTGACTCAGCGCTCCGCGGACGCTCCTCGGATCCAAGCGACGTCCCTTCGCTCGGCACCTCCACTTCCGTGGACCTCGACCCGGTGGAAATTCCGGCTCCGGCCCTCTAGGCGGACTCGGACGCCCCGAGCCGAGCATTCGAGCATCCCACTGACTATGCCGGTCTGCAGAGGAGAAGGACCTAAAGGACACGAATCCGCCTTTTGCCGCGGAGGCCATCACCTGGCGGACATCTCTAGCCAGTTTGTTTGGATGGTCAGCAGCTCTTAGCAGCGGGCACTCGTTGTCGTGCTACCGAACGGCACATCTGTGCGGTAAAGCTTTACCTGAGCAGCGCATCGTGCTAGCAACCACGAAACACTAGCACCCAACCCTGCGGAGCCTTCCTGATGCAGTCGAGTTGCAGAAGGATGGAAAGGTGGGGAGAGGGCCACATCCGTACCTGACTCTGTCCCGTCTGGAAGCTGCCCTGGAGCTCTCCCCGCTTTCCCAGCCTCCACTAGTTACGAGCAGCTCGGCCAGCAAGGCCTCACTAGAGCCCGCTCGGTGTAAGTCCAGTGTGTAGTGGCGGCACCCAGTCGTTTCGCCCACACACGCCCGCAACACCTTGCACAGAAACATGAGAGGAAGCCGAAAACTCACACGAGTCGGTCGGGGACTCCGCCAGCACTTTGGCAGTGCCAACCCCGAGCTGTTGAACGATCCTGGCATGAGCTCACAAAGCTGAAAGAATTGCTCTTCCAAACAAGCCCTTGCGGCCGAGGTTGCTTCAACGGTGCGCCTTAGTTCCGGATTACCACCATTGGAGAGCTTCGACTTCTGTCTACGCTCCCTGCCTTCTCCACAATCACTGAGCCATGCATGTAAAGCTGAACCCAACCGCACATCAGGTCCGCCACAACCTCCTTTGCTCTCCGCAACCCAGGCATTCCACACTGCATCGTTCTTCCTTCCCAGTTACACCTTGATCCTTTGTGGTCGTTTCCTGGTCTTGGATATGAAGCTGTCGTCCCCGACACGAAGGTAAGCCTTTAATTTCAACTTGACGCCATCAAAGACGATCGCAAGCTTCTATTCAAGCAACCCAGATTTCTTGGACACGGAACCCGGGCAGGCAACATCTCCAACAAGCTTGCCACAGCATGACTCGGCTCGCACTTCGCGACATGCTCGGAAGTTCCGACCACTACCAGAAGCGCTGGCGCGGACACACTCGCGGGCTTGACGGCCAGCCTTGCATGTGCACTATCTAAGCCGGCGACCGTTTGCAAAAAGCTCGAAGACGCTCTCTGCATTCAGGGCGACTTGCTTCACCTGAAATTTCGGACGAAGAAAACGTTCGTATTCAGATGAGAAGTGTTACCAAGTTCTGTCCTGCTCCGGACAATCCACCACATAGAAAGTGGTCTCGGCGGAGAAAGACGGCCTGAGCAGGAAACACATCTTTCAAGAAAGCACGCGCCCTTGTGTTTCGAAGCTGCGTCAGAGATGTTACGAAAGCGCAGGACGTCATATTTGATGCATCTGATGCTTTATGTGGTTTGTTGTCCATGTCGTGTCGTCTTTGCGCTCCAACGTTCCCCGTCCACACTTCCTTCCACCTGTTCTTCTAGCCGTATCCACGTCCCCGGACATCATAGAACAGCAACGGACAGCCGCTTTTGCACCGAACATCGGTGTCCCGAATCGGCACTAGGAAACGAGTGACACTATGCAGACTGACGTCAGAGAGCAAAAACTGCTAAGAAGAGCTCGGCATTCAACGCGAGGCTGGAAACAAAAAGTCTTCCAGGTGGCACGAGCGGGCCGAAAAACCACCGGCGTGCAAAAAGTTGATTGCAAATCGCTGAAGGGACAACGATGGACAGCCGTTTTGCACCCATGCAGTGTCCCGAGTCAGCCAAAGGAAAACACTATGCACACTGACGTGAGAGAGCAAAAGCTGCTAAGAGAAGCTCGGCATTCAATGTGAATGACACTGACCTGGGGAACTACCTGCCTCACTAACCGTACTAAAATGGGTAGGAGCGGGGGAACCCTCCATGGCAATACCTGCGACACCTTGAAAGCCAAACCGCCTCCACAGCAAGCTCCAAAATGACCCTGATATGTCCCTCCCCCCCGAAGGGGGTATGGGACTGCACACTTTCTGATTGACTTGAACTTGAGCCATCGTAAGATGGATAGTGCGAATGATCCACACCGCAGAGTTCGGATAGTGCGAATGATCCGCACCTGGGCCGTTGAGCTTGGTACACTTCTTGATTTGTGCACTGGCTCTACACTCCTACTCACACTCCTCCTTGCCATGAGGTCTGTACGGTCCTCCATGGCACATCACGTTAACAAAATATGGCCCCGTACTAATCGATGGACTTTCCAACGGCCATGCATGCATTGTTGCATCAAGTTGGTACAATCTGCACGTCAAAACTCTGACAGGCACTGAATGCGATTGAAATGATCAGTAACCTATCCCCTCGGACAAAATGCCCTCCGTGCTGATACGTTGTGCAAGCGTGTCCGTGCTACTCTCAGGGCTTCCACTTGATCATGCCCAGCATTCCGCGTGCTAGAGCAAGCTTTCCTTTGGATAGAACCTTTGTTAAGCCGTCAGCGGCGAGCTCACTTGTACGACAATGCTCGACAGGAATGCCTTCTTCGATGAGCTGATCGCGTAGCCAAGAAGTCCTCAAAGCATAATGTCTCGTGCGCATGCGGGTCCAAACCATCTGGTCCCTCGTGGCAAGATTGATTGCTCCAGTGTTATCCGCATGGGGCACACATGACACCTCTGTGTTGTTGATCTCCTGCATCATGACCCGCAGCTTGACTGCCAACTCAACTCCTAATGTCATTCCCTCAAGCTCGCTTTCAGTCGCTGAAAATGCCGTTAAAGCTTGACGAAGGCTTTTCCAACTGATGATGTTGTTCCCAACCTTCAGCACAATGCCAGATCTAGACTTCGAGCCTCCTGGTGAGAATGATGCGTCGGTGTGTATATCTAGCGTAGTAGTTCCCGAAGATGTGTACAGGATGCCCCAGTCGACGGTGCCTCGGAGATACCTCCACAAACCGGCGCACAGGCGCTGAGCTTCTCTCGGGTTTGGTAGCAGCTAAGCAAGCTGTGACACCGACGGTCGAACAGATATCCGGCCTAGACCTCAACCCCAGCCACATGAGGCTGCCCAGTTCCGATTGCACATGCTTGAGTCTCTCCGCGAAGCTCTAATCCCGCTCCTTGGGCTCCAACGTCCCCTCTTGTGGGACAGGGAGGCTATGGCTGCCATGAACGTTGGCCCATCCTCGAGTAGCCAACTCCTGCAGCAGCCATCGCCGCTGTGTCAAGAGAATGCCGTCTGGATGGTTCACAATCTGCGTTCCGAGGAAGGAAAACTCCGATACCACCGGACAAGAAATACCGTGCTTTTCAAACGTGTCACCCTTTGTGACCCCGCATCGCCGTAAAATGCCCTGGACTTTGATCTCCCAAAGCTGTGATATGGCATGACAAACCCGAGCTATTGCCTCTGGCACGCCCACGGCCAAACGACATAGAACGTTCCCACGCCAACCGTTCGTCCTTGCTCATCTATGATGGCCCAAAGACCCTTCGATGTTGAGATTTCTCTCAGCGTTAGCATTCCCAAAAGGTCGCCAGCCTGAGGATCGAGCTTCATCTCCTTCATGGCCTTGTCACGCTCCTGTTGCCATTCCATCGACGAAACTCGTAGCCCGTATAAGGCTCTTTTTAAATGCCACACCGTTCCCGATTTCACCAGTCCCAGGCGCTCAAGCACCTTTCGCGGCCGTACAACGGCCCTATGTTTTTCGGAAAGATACGCATTCAAAAAAGCGCATGCCACATCCCAGGACAGGGCCGTCCAATCCGGATGCTCGGCGAGCAATGCTAGCATGTACCGAACTGCCTCTGGGTCAATGTTGACCGAAGCGAAATCTTCTTTGCATGAGATTCAGTGTTCTGGAAGTTTCCGCAAACCACTATGCGTGATCGCGGCTTGTACCCCAACTCATGCTCTACTGTACCTGGCTCTGCATCCAATGCCGGTTTTTCCACATTGACCGTCTTTGCTGGCAGGATGTCTGGAACGTAACCTAACTGCTCTTTGAGGTGGTCCACCGTCGTCTCGTCCCAAACTCCCTTATCGCCCATGGTCCGTAGCTCCTTGTCTATGGCTGCATACCATGCCGCCTTTTGTTGCTCACTCCCCTCGAAAAACACTTGATTGTCCACGCAGTGTTTCCATTTCCTGTCTGATTTGCGCCTCCTCATACTCCGTACCTAAAACCACATACTTGCCCTCGGCCTCGACGTCCTGACTCGGCTGTCGGCTTCAACCTTAGCCTTGAGGCGAGACGGCTCCGCAACTAAGAACCCATAGTTGAACCTGACCAGATCGGGAAGATCGGCACTTTCAGCATGAGCACCGTGCAGCTTACGCTTTATGGCCTGTTCCAAGTTGCGGTAGCGAGCGGGACCATCATACTGTGGACCATCTGTCCTCTCCTCGGAAGTGGTGATTTCTTCGCCATGCGGAGCTGCCCACCTGACCTCGCCATCCGATGAGATCCACTGTCCACACTTCATGTTCTTCATCCGGGCTTAAGGATTTCTTCCAAGTTGGCTTCGGTACATTCAACAGGACAGGCAGTCTGGACTTGATGATTTTCATTCCCCCTTCACCGTCTCTCTGCACTAGGACATTCGCCCCATCCACAAAGGAGTCATCCGCTCCGAGGTAGATCCCTTGTTCCACCCTGCTTTCAAACGCATCCGAATGCGGCTTTTTCACGGCTACAAGCGAACCAAAGATGGGAGCATCCTTAGGACATGGAATCTCTCCTGCAGCGGCTCGCAACACATACACTGCATGCTGTACTGCGAATGTCCAGAAGATGGCCGGAAGGCCACCATGCAGTAAGAGAGACGTTGACTGATGTTTGATTGTTTGAATCGCCCTCTCCACTTTGCCCGATGACTGCTTGCAGTACGGAACACTCTTGGGTGCACTAGCTCCTTTATCCCTCCACCATCCCCAGAACACCTCCGGGACAATAGTGGTAGTAAGTAGTTAGCATGCGAGCTAGCCGAGCGACGACCGAATAGGAGCAACGCACTCAGCTAGCACGGACGGACTTTTTAACTGGAGTGGCAACTATCCCAGGTTGCCTGGAGATCCGATAGCCTTCGGCTATCCATCCCCACGCATCGCCACTCAGGCTACCAGGGATCTAGCTTCCGGGCCTTACGGCTAAACCTTGACACCCTATCCGGGGTCCCTCGCTTTCGCGTGCCTAGCTCCCTGTAGAAGCTATCTGCATGCGCGAGTAGCCGGCCAAGAACTCGCCACTGGAAGTCCTCACCCTTCAGATCTATCCTCTGATCGGGGTCAAACTCCTTAAACTTTTCATTGGTGAGGTCGTCCGCTAGCTGGTTGTTGATGTCTCTCCGTATCCACTGGAGCTGTAGCTCACAGTTCTTCTGGGATAGCTCTTCCGCTACCTCCATTAAAATTAGCATAGAAGGATACTTGGTCGTCATAGCCTTCTTCACAAGTGCCTCGTTGGACTTGTTATCCGTATATCCGCGGATGGCCACTCGCGAGGTCTTTCTATCCTCGCCCTCGGGGACCCAGAGACGTATCCCCACGAGGGTCGCTAGCGCAGCTATCACTTTCTTGGGATCGCCTTTCGAAAAAGCCCAAGGAGCCCAGGCCTTATCCACCTCAAGTGAAAACCAGGGTCCCGGCTTCCCTTCGGAAATCTCCAGGAAGCCCCCTATCCAGGCCCTCTCGGACTCCGCCTTAGCGTCAGTGAAAAAGCTCAGTGGTGGTAGCCCAGCGTAGAGAGTCACGGGACGTTGGAGTCTCTCATCCTGGTCAAGCTTGTCGGCTAGCCACCGCACCAGGACCCTCAGCATCGTGGGTATGATGAGGTATCCCGTCTTCCCCTGGATAGCCGCGCACCAGGCGTGGAGGGGGCCGAGGAAGGGCCTCTGCCAGTCCAGTGCGATCGCCGCAAAGCCTAGCCTTCCTAGCCCCTGCTGCATCTCCTTGGCCGTGACTTTGCCAGAGGTCACCTTGTCGTTTAGCCAAGAGGAGAGCCAGGAAGCGCGCTTCTTTGACATGCCTAGCCTGTGGGAGGAATACTCGGTCTCCATCCCCAGCCACTCCACTCTATAGCCACCCCGAGTCTTCGCCCATTTGAAGGGATAGCCCAGGACAGAGAGGAGGAGGTAACGCAGAGGAATCCCCTTCCTCCCCTCCGTCCCTATCCCCAGGGCCTCGAGGTCGTCGGCATATAGCAGGAGGTCGATGGGGTAGCCGGGTCCCAACAGATGATGGGTTGCCCGTAGCCCACATGCGGCTATCCTCGTCCACCAATAGCTGGCTGGAGATAGCCCGA